AGTAAGCACTGGATTAGTTACAGCACACTCTTTTTGTTTAGGTTAGTATGTACACACCTATATCCGTTAGTAATAGAAACACCCACACTATTAGTATACCCACCCCTATCTATTGTTCACAGAATTACACGTTATACAGGCATGTTTACCTTGAAAATACATTTCTTTGCAATAATTTGGTGCTAAAAATTCCCTTAATCAGCAGTTCTCAAGGGAGGGAGAAAGGAGCCATGTCCCTGGGCTTGTTATGTAGCTGGGAAAGGAAGAGAGGGGGAGAGAACACTTCTTTACACAAAGGGTATTCATTGGACAGCTACATTTCTTATGCAGCTACAAGGCTTATCAATTCTCAACAAGCAACAGTGAAGGGAAAAAGATGACAACTTATTTATCAAACAAAGAAACGTTGCTTGCTTGTGTCTTATTCCCTAATGCCATATCAACATACAAGCAGCTTTGCAGGTCTTTACTTAACCCTAAGGTATCCCAACACTCCCTGACTCTGTTCAAAGAAGGGCCAAGGCACCCTTCCTTCTCACACACTGAAGAATATGGGGTTACAGGGGGATCCCCGAGACAGGATGCACAGCAGAAGTATCAGAGAGAAGGAGGAGGGAGGGCGTGCGGGGGTGAGTTACAGAGGAAAGGGGAGAGATGGACCAAAATGCATGGGGAGAGAGAGAGTTTCCAAGGGAGAGACAAACGACCTTCCTGAACCCAAACTGTCACTGCCTGGTTCAGGGAACATTTACTTCAGGGCAACCTGGTTGGATCAGTCCGGGAATCAGAGCGTGCGGGGAAACACCAAGGGCAGCGGAGAGTGGGCCACATGTGGATGAATAGAGCATTTTGTGGACACCTCCCCTCAAGTTTGGGATCACCCAGCCCATCTCCACTTCCACTCATAGTCCCCTAGCACCCGAGCAGCAGCTCCAGGTTTGCTGTCACAGCCCTGCACAAGCTCCCACAGATTGACACACACCAGGTGGCTGGGTTTGGGTCCCCCACACTGGAGTCGAAGCAGTGTTCAGGCCCTGCCTCTGGCTCTGGGCTTCTAGGCCCACTCTCGGGGTGCAGCTTCCCCTCTAACACCTGCGTCTGGGAGCTGAGACCTGCACACCAAGACCCTGAGACTAGTTTTGGCTCAACTTCACCAGACTCTCCAGTTGCTTCAGCTCACCCTTCCCAGAGCTCCTGCTTGGGCACACTCTGTTTCATAGAATCATAGAATCATAGAATCATAGAATATAAGGGTTGGAAGGGACCCCAGAAGGTCATCTAGTCCAACCCCTGCTCGAAGCAGGACCAATTCCCAGTTAAATCATCCCAGCCAGGGCTTTGTCAAGCCTGACCTTAAAAACCTCTAAGGAAGGAGATTCTACCACCTCCCTAGGTAACGCATTCCAGTGTTTCACCACCCTCTTAGTGAAAAAGTTTTTCCTAATATCCAATCTAAACCTCCCCCACTGCAGCTTGAGACCATTACTCCTCGTTCTGTCATCTGCTACCATTGAGAACAGTCTAGAGCCATCCTCTTTGGAACCCCCTTTCAGGTAGTTGAAAGCAGCTATCAAATCCCCCCTCATTCTTCTCTTCTGCAGGCTAAACAATCCCAGCTCCCTCAGCCTCTCCTCATAACTCATGTGTTCCAGACCCCTAATCATTTTTGTTGCCCTTCGCTGGACTCTCTCCAATTTATCCACATCCTTCTTGAAGTGTGGGGCCCAAAACTGGACACAGTACTCCAGATGAGGCCTCACCAATGTCGAATAGAGGGGAACGATCACGTCCCTCGATCTGCTCGCTATGCCCCTACTTATACATCCCAAAATGCCATTGGCCTTCTTGGCAACAAGGGCACACTGCTGACTCATATCCAGCTTCTCGTCCACTGTCACCCCTAGGTCCTTTTCCGCAGAACTGCTGCCTAGCCATTCGGTCCCTAGTCTGTAGCTGTGCATTGGGTTCTTCCGTCCTAAGTGCAGGACCCTGCACTTATCCTTATTGAACCTCATCAGATTTCTTTTGGCCCAATCCTCCAATTTGTCTAGGTCCCTCTGTATCCTATCCCTCCCCTCCAGCGTATCTACCACTCCTCCCAGTTTAGTATCATCCGCAAATTTGCTGAGAGTGCAATCCACACCATCCTCCAGATCATTTATGAAGATATTGAACAAAACCGGCCCCAGGACCGACCCTTGGGGCACTCCACTTGATACCGGCTGCCAACTAGACATGGAGCCATTGATAACTACCCGTTGAGCCCAACAATCTAGCCAGCTTTCTACCCACCTTGTAGTGCATTCATCCAGCCCATACTTCCTTAACTTGCTGACAAGAATACTGTGGGAGACCGTGTCAAAAGCTTTGCTAAAGTCAAGAAACAATACATCCACTGCTTTCCCTTCATCCACAGAACCAGTAATCTCATCATAGAAGGCGATTAGATTAGTCAGGCATGACCTTCCCTTGGTGAATCCATGCTGGCTGTTCCTGATCACTTTCCTCTCATGCAAGTGCTTCAGGATTGATTCTTTGAGGACCTGCTCCATGATTTTTCCAGGGACTGAAGTGAGGCTGACTGGCCTGTAGTTCCCAGGATCCTCCTTCTTCCCTTTTTTAAAGATTGGCACTACATTAGCCTTTTTCCAGTCATCCGGGACTTCCCCGGTTCGCCACGAGTTTTCAAAGATAATGGCCAATGGCTCTGCAATCACAGCCGCCAGTTCCTTCAGCACTCTCGGATGCAACTCGTCCGGCCCCATGGACTTGTGCACGTCCAGCTTTTCTAAATAGTCCCTAACCACCTCTATCTCCACAGAGGGCTGGCCATCTCTTCCCCATTTTGTGATGCCCAGCGTAGCAGTCTGGGAGCTAACCTTGTTAGTGAAAACAGAGGCAAAAAAAGCATTGAGTACATTAGCTTTTTCCACATCCTCTGTCACTAGTTTGCCTCCCTCATTCAGTAAGGGGCCCACACATTCCTTGGCTTTCTTCTTGTTGCCAACATACCTGAAGAAACCCTTCTTGTTACTCTTGACATCTCTGGCTAGCTGCAGCTCCAGGTGCGATTTGGCCCTCTTGATAACATTCCTACATGCCCGAGCAATATTTTTATACTCTTCCCTGGTCATATGTCCAACCTTCCACTTCTTGTAAGCTTCTTTTTTATGTTTAAGATCCGCTAAGATTTCACCATTAAGCCAAGCTGGTCGCCTGCCATATTTACTATTCTTTCGACTCATCGGGATGGTTTGTCCCTGTAACCTCAACAGGGATTCCTTGAAATACAGCCAGCTCTCCTGGACTCCTTTCCCCTTCAAGTTAGTCCCCCAGGGGATCCTGGCCATCCGTTCCCTGAGGGAGTCGAAGTCTGCTTTCCTGAAGTCCAGGGTCCGTATCGTGCTGCTTACCTTTCTTCCCTGTGTCAGGATCCTGAACTCAACCAACTCATGGTCACTGCCTCCCAGATTCCCATCCACTTTTGCTTCCCCCACTAATTCTACCCGGTTTGTGAGCAGCAGGTCAAGAAAAGCGCCCCCCCCTAATTGGCTCCTCTAGCACTTGCGCCAGGAAATTGTCCCCTACGCTTTCCAAAAACTTCCTGGATTGTCTATGCACCGCTGTATTGCTCTCCCAGCAGATATCAGGAAAATTAAAGTCACCCATGAGAATCAGTTTCCAGTGTCTCTCTTTCAGGGCACAGAATCGTTAAAGCAAACACACCCAGGCCTTCCAAAAGGGGTTGCTAAAGCAATTCCTCTACTTGAAAAAGCACAAGAGATACCCAGGTCTAGTTAAACAGAATAGAACATCTGCATGCCCTTCCCTGCATCTGTCTCTTCACCACCCTGGAGCGTTCTTTGGGATTTAGTCAGAGCAATTCTGGGGTCTCCAGCGGCCACCTCCTGGAACTCCTGGCTTCTCCTTCAGATGGAGCCTGCCTCTGTACTGCAGCCAGAGCCCTGCAACCCAAGAGTCCCCTCTGCTGCCCTTGTGCCTCTCTCCTGCCCCAGCTTCTTCTGGCTCACCCAGTCTTTGTGTTTTTAAAGGGCTGGACCAACCCCTCCTCTCTCTGTCCCCTTTTCTGGGGAGGTTCCATTCCTTCCACGCCCTCCCCTCTGCAGAGATGCTGGAGAAAACTGGCTTTTGTCTAGAATGCAGTTCCTCCCTTCTTCGGTCCTGGCGAGATCTGGTTAGGTGCTGAGAGTCTTAAATGACCAACCTATTTACAGACAGATGCCTCCGCCCCAGCCTCCTGCCCCTTTCCACAAGTTGTTTGAGTGAAGAGTATGGGAAAAGCCCAAAGACACAAGGATACAGAGGGTTCATTCAATCAAACATGAGTTAACATAGTTTCCACCCATCTGGGTTTAACGCAGACAGTCAGGTTTTTGGCTTCTGTGTCTGGGTGTCATTTAGGGTTGCCATGTACCCAGTTTTGAACCAGAAAGTCTGGTCAAAAAGGGGATCTGGTAGGGTTCAGTTACTGCAGTGTGAGGGAGGCCTTGGGTCATTAACTCATGCCACCCCTGATCATCCTGGGCTGTCTCCTAACTGCAGAAAGGCTCCTTGTCTGGCTGCAGGAGTGCCTGTCTCAGATCCGGAGCAGAGGGAGCCAAGCCTGGGTGGGGAGGGAGGTGGAGATGATCCAGAGTGATAGGGGAGGAGAGGAGTCGGTCCTTGGGCCTTGATGGACTAGGTGGCTCAGATGAAGGGGCACTGAGGGAGGAGGTGGGGCAGGGGGAGACCTTGGTGGAAGAGGCAGGTTAGGAGGGGGGGTCTCAATATTCCACTTACCAGCAGTTATAAGGTGGAAACCCTATGAGTTGCACATAGACAAATTCCTCAGTTTGTCATGCTGACAGAGCACAGTAAGCTCAGGAAAGGATTTAATGTCTCTTTGACTGTCCAGTCAGTGATGCAGGGAAGAGAGTCTGGCACCATGTCACCAGTCAGTGGAGCTCAGTCCGAGAGTCAAAGCACAAGGAGAAAAATCTTTAAGTCCGTTTATGAGTAAAGAGCTGGAGAAGCCTGTCCCGGATCTGTTTGGTGCTCACCCCATAGATGATGGGGTTTAGCATGGGGGGCACGAGGAGGTACAGATTGGCAATGATAATGTGGAAATGCAGGGCCAAATTGTGCCCAAACTGGTGCATTAGGAAGGAGAAGAGAGATGGGATGTAAAAGATTAAGATGACACAGAGGTGGGAGCTGCAGGTCCCAAAAGTCTTCAGCCGGGTGTCCTTGGTGGGGAGGCTGAAGATGGCCCTGAGGATCTGGGTATAGGACATGGTGATACAAAATACATCTAGACAGGTCATCAAAAATGCCACGAAGAGGCCATAGTAACTACTGATGCGGATGTCAGTGCAGGCCAGCTTTACCACGGCTATGTGCTCACAGTACGAGTGGGGGATGATGTTGGTTCTGCAATATGGCCATTGCCTCGCCAAGAAGGGATAGGGCAGTACGAGCATGCTTCCACGCAGCACTATGGCCAGGCCAATCTTGGCCACCACATGGTTTGTCAGGATGGTGGAATGTCTCAGGGGATGGCAGACGGCCACATAGCGATCCAAAGCCATGGCCACAAAGATCCCAGACTCCATCACTACAAAGCAGTGAATGAAGTACATCTGGGTGAGGCAGGCACTGAAATTGATCTCCTTGGAATTGAACCAGAAGATTGCTAACATTTTGGGCAGGGTAGACGTGGACAGGACCAGGTCACTGACGGCTAGCATGCAGAGGAAATAGTACATGGGCCCATGGAGGCTCAGTTCCATCTTCACAATGAACAGGATGGTGAAGTTCCCCAAAATGGATATGACATACATGGTGCAGAAGGGGATCGAGATCCAGACATGCGCAGTGTCCAGAAGGATGAATGTGGAGGGGTTGTTGAATTCAGTTGTGTTAGAATCTGACATGGAGCAGGGGAGAAATCCTCCATATACCATGCGTCCCCTTGACTTCCTTTCTGTGCCCAGGGTCTAGGATGATGGTCACAGGACAAATGCCTGGATGGAGACATAATGTTAATATGAGACACAACATGCACCACATCTACCGTTGAACCTTAGAGTTACGAACTGAACGATCAATCACAAATCTCATTCTGAACGATTATGCAATCAAAGAGCAGCAGAACCAAAACCAAGACAAAAAAAAAAAAAAAAAAAGACAAACACAGGACACTTCTGTATATAAATGTAAACACTTAAAAATATGAAGGGAACATTTTTAAAAAATATATTTGGGAAGGTTAGGAAACAATGGAAAAGCTGGTATTGGAGTAATTAAAAATAGCATAGGAATATAATTAATGCCAGTCAGCAACATGGTTTATGGAAAACACATCTTCTCAAATATTGCTGATTTTATGAGAGTTCATGTTTGGCTGATCAAGTGAACCGCACAGATGCAATAACCTTTGATTTCTCTGTGACATTTGATTTCGTAGGGGAAAATATTCAGATTAAAATATGAACACTTTTCAATATCAATAGTGCATGTGTAAAAGGAACTAAAAACTGGCTAATTGAGAGATCTCAGAAAGCAGTTGTCAATGGGCTATTGTCAGTGAATGGGGTTGTTTTACGTGGTATTCTGCAGATATAATTTCTAGGTCTAATACTATTCAAAATTTTCATCAATGATGTGGAAGGAAAATCACTGCAGATAAAATCTGCAGACGATCCAAAGATTGACAGAGTGTTTACAATGAGCAGCCCAGGGCAGGCACACTGATAGATCTGGAGCCTTTGGTGAGCTGGGCCCATGGAAGCAAAATGTTTTAATACAGTTGTCATAAATATAAAGGGAAGGGTAAACCCCTTTGAAATCCCTCCTGGCCAGGGGAAAACTCCTCTCACCTGTAAAGGGTTAAGAAGCTAAAGGTAACCTCGCTGGCACCTGACCAAAATGACCAATGAGGAGACAAGATACTTTCAAAAGGTGGGAGGAGGGAGAGAAACAAAGGGTCTGTGTGTCTGTCTGTAGTCTGTCTTTGTCGGGGATAGACCAGGAATGGAGTCTTAGAACTTTTAGTAAGTAATCTGGCTAGGTATGTGTTAGATTATGATTTCTTTAAATGGCTGAGAAAAGAATTGTGCTGAATAGAATAACTATTTCTGTCTGTGTATCTTTTTTGTAACTTAAGGTTTTCATAGAATCATAGAATATCAGGGTTGGAAGGGACCCCAGAAGGTCATCTAGTCCAACCCCCTGCTCGAAGCAGGACCAATTCCCAGTTAAATCATCCCAGCCAGGGCTTTGTCAAGCCTGACCTTAAAAACCTCTAAGGAAGGAGATTCTACCACCTCCCTAGGTAACGCATTCCAGTGTTTCACCACCCTCTTAGTGAAAAAGTTTTTCCTAATATCCAATCTAAACCTCCCCCACTGCAACTTGCCTAGAGGGATTCTCTATGTTTTGAATCTAATTACCCTGTAAGGTATCTACCATCCTGATTTTACAGAGGGGATTTCTTTACTTCTATTTCTATTAAAAGTCTTCTTGTAAGAAACTGAATGCTTTTTCATTGTTCTCAGATCCAAGGGTTTGGATCTGTGGTCAGCTATGCAAATTGGTGAGGCTTTTTATCCAACATTTCCCAGGAAAGGGGGGGTGCAAGTGTTGGGAGGATTGTTCATTGTTCTTAAGATCCAAGGGTCTGGGTCTGTAGTCACCTAGGCAAATTGGTGAGGCTTTTTACCAAACCTTGTCCAGGAAGTGGGGTGCAAGGTTTTGGGAAGTATTTTGGGGGGAAGGACGCGTCCAAACAGCTCTTCCCCAGTAACCAGTATTAGTTTGGTGGTGGTAGCGGCCAGTCCAAGGACAACGGGGGGAATATTTTGTACCTTGGGGAAGTTTTGACCTAAGCTGGTAAAGATAAGCTTAGGAGGTTTTTCATGCAGGTCCCCACATCTGTATCCTAGCGTTCAGAGTGTGGAAGGAACCTTGACACAGTCAAATGCAAAGTTATCCTCTCGGAGCAGAGAATGCAGGCCTGACCGACAGACTAGGGCACTGTATTATGGAGCGCAGGGACCCTGAAAAGTATTCAGGGGTCATTGTGGACAGCCAACTCATCATGAGCTTCCTGTGCGGTGCTGGGGACAAAACGGCTGATGCAATCCGTGGAAGCATACAGAGGGTAGGTGTGAGTTGGAAACCTGGGAACAACTTTACCTCTGCATGTGGCATTGGTTAAAATGTCTGCATCCAATTCTGGGGTCCACATTTCAAAAAGGATGTTGAAAACTTGGAGAGGGTTCAGAAAAGAGTCACACAAATGATTGGAGACTGTAGAAAATGCCTCACAGAGCGAGAGAGAGATAAAGATCTTCATCCACTTATCTTGTGAAAAATACGATCAAACAGAGACTTTCATGGGGAGAAAACTGCGGATACTAACGGGCTCTGTAATCTAGACAAGAATGGCAGAGTAAGACCCAATGGCTGGAAGCTGAAGCCAGACAAATTCCAGCTGGTAATAAGGGCCAAATGTTTAGCACTGAGGATGATTAACAATTGGAACAAACTGCAAAAGGAAGTGGTGGATTCTCCAACTCCGCATGCCAGCAGATCCAGAGAGGATGCTTTTCTGGAAGATCTGCTTGAAGGCCTGTCTATGTTTAAAACACTACAGTAGCTCTGCCGTAGCACTTCTGTGTAAACAGGACTCACAGTGACAGCAGGGGTTCTCCCATTAGCGTAGTTCATCCACATCCCCCAGGGGTGGTAGCTAGGTCGATGGGAGTATTCTTCCGTTGACCTCATGCTGTCTACCCTGGGATTAGGTTGATATGGACACATCTGTGATGGGTGTGGATTGTTTTCTGTTGCACAAAAAGCTAATGCAATTTTCTTTTGCACTAGCAGAGGCAGAGCATGCAAGTCGCAGGAGGTGATAGCACCGTTCTGCTTGGAGCTGGTCAGGCCTCAGTTGAAGCACGGTGCCCAGTTCTGGTCACCAGTGTATAGGAAGGATGTAGAGAAACTGGAAAGGATCCAGAGGTGAGTGACAAGGATGATCAAAGGGATGGAATGCAAGCCATAAGAGCAAAGGCTGAAGGAACTGGGTATGTTTAGTATGGAAAAAGAGGAGATTGAGGGGGGACGTGGCAGCGGTCTTCAGATACTTGAAAGGCTGCTATAAAAAAGATGGAGAAAAATTGTTCTCTGTGGTCATAGAGGGCAGGACAACAGGCAATAGGTTCAAACGACGGAAGAGCAGATGTAGATAAAATCTCAGGAAAAAACTTCCTAACAGTAAGAACAGGAGGAATATGGAACAGATGCCTCGGGAGGTTTTGGAAACATCTTCATTGCAGGGTGTCAAAAGGAGGCTCGATAACCAACTGTGTTGGATGGCTTACAAACAACAAATCCTGCATCTCAGCAGGGGGCTAGGTTCGATTACCCTGTGGTTTTATAGTTTTATGACGTAAAATCCTAATGAAGACCAGTCCTTAGTTAAACACAAGTCTTTGGGCTCAATACAGGGGTAACTGGGTAAAATGTAATGACCTGTGTTTTACAGGATGTTAGGATATAAATATTCAGGCCTGTCTGTAAAGGTCTAGACTCTAAGAATTTAGGTGTATTCTTATCACTTACCTAGATCTAGAGGTATAAAAGAGAGAATCAAAATCACTGTCTGTCGGTGTAAGGGCCTTCTCTCCCTGTGACAGTCTGAGGCCCTGTGCTTAGGCTAAGGCCTTTGGATAAGCAGCAGAGGCAGCCATAAGCTGGGAAGCGACCGGTCACCTCCTCACATCCCAAACTAGTCACATTGAAAGAAGGTGCTATTGGGCTGTTAGAAAGGGGATCTGATCTATCACCTCCAGAGAAAGGGAAGAGCCTAGAGGATGTAAAAGGAAACTTAGTTTGATAGCATCCTGTCTGGCAAGAACTCACTTATCAATAGCTGGGATGTGAAATCCTCATTTCTGTGTTGTTCTATCATTGTAGTCCCCATTTCCCTATTGTTTGTCTGGATAATCTCTGTCTGCTTCTGTGATTGTTCCTGTCTGCTGTATAATTAATTTTGCTGGGTGTAAACTAATTAAGGTTGTGGAATATAATTGGTTAAATAATCATGTTACAATATGTTAGGATTGGTTAGTTAATTTTCAGTAAAATGATTGGTTAAGGTATATCTAAGCAGAACTCAAGTTTTACTATATAGTCTGCAGTCAATCAGGAAGTTGGGGGGGAGGTAATGGGAACAGGGAATAGAGGTGGGGAAATTGGAATCACGTTTTGCTAAGGGGAGGAATGGGAAAAGGGACACAGGTGTAAGGCTCTGTGGTATCAGAGTTGGGAAGGGGGACACTAAGGAAGGAAACTGGAATCATGCTTGTTGGAAGTTCACCCCAATAAACATCAAATTGTTTGCACCTTTGGACTTGGGGTATTGTTGCTCTCTGTTCATGCGAGAAGGACCAGGGAAGTGAGTGGGTGAAAGAACAAGCCCCTAACATCTTGGTGCTGTGACCTGGATACATCACATCTGATAGGTGAGTAGCAGCTTGTAAGTCCCCCTCCCCAACAGTCTGTGCAGCTGCTTGGAGGGGGTATCACAAACTCTCGTGATGGTAGTTGCGGGTTCTGGCAATCCAGGGTAAAGGATTTCTTGGATAAATGGATAAGAAAGAACCAGGGTCCATACCAACTGCAGGGGTCAACCTGGGATGAGATTAAAAAGGAAATGGAGGAAGTGTCAGGGGACCCAGAGGGATGGGGGTGGCTGAGGACCCCACCCTCCTTGGTATATGGGTAGTGGAAGAAGGTCCATGCCCATGGAGACTGGATGCCTTCCAGGGAAAGGAGGCACTTCAGTCCCCATGTGAGAGGTTTGAAGTAAGGGCAGCATTATGGGAAGCTGCCAGGAATCTTTCAAGTTTGGTGCTGCTTCAGCAAGGGCTGCTGA